CAGAAAAGCACAGCTGAGACCCCTGTTTTCAATGTCATCCCCCATTCCTAACCTGCTCTAGCATTTTTTTTAAACCTCCCCTCCTATAAAAGCCCTGCCTCTTTGCTCCCTTTCCTCCCCGTGGAACTATAATATAGATTTTTAAAGGCCATTGTCACCACAGATCGTGCTTTAATTTGCTACAAGCAAATTACTAAATACCTACAGGCTTAGCAGAACGGCTCTCTCTCTCCAAAGCCTCTTTCCCACCGCCACTAAGTAAACCCACTTGCTGGAAAGACATTGATGGCAGTAAGAACGTGATGATTTTAAACCAATCCTCCAAAAACACAGAGTAAAACTGCATGTCTAACTGAAGACAAAGTGAATGAGTCAAACTCTGATGCAGGCTAAGTATGAGCTCTGCTAGTTCATCTTCCAAAGGGTGGGGGGCCTGATCCAAAGCCCATCGAGCTCCTTCCATTGACTTCGGTGGGCTGTGGGTGAGGTCCACTGGGTCCCATCCTGCGAAGTGCTGAGTGCCTCCTTCGAACTACTCAGCACCCTCAACTCCCACTTCCTTCAATGGGCTTAGCAGCAGCTCAGCACTTTGCAGATGACACTCAGCCTCTTGCCAGCCTGGACACTGAGCAGTGGGAGCGAGCAACACAATCCTTAAAATTCACCCCTCCTAGGCAATCTGAATCGTTATGGATTCGCCTAAGTTTTGTTCCTGCAGGTGAAAATTAAATATGGGTTAGCGAGAGTTACACACCGGGAAAGTAGGTCACCGTGCTCGAGGTATCGCATTAGATGCTGCGTTTGCAGATATTTCCAAATATAACTGCCTACCTTCCATGGGTTCAATTGGAAAACCATACAAAAAAGCCCTGCATACTTTGCAAGGTGACAAGTGATCAAAAGAACCAAAGTAGGAAAGCGCCTGCATACTCCCTGCCAAGATGGCAGCCAGTAAGTGACAAATGTAAATGTAACACATGCCTAAATGTAAATTAACTACATTTGGAGCTTACAAACTGGATATTTGCAACTCGTTTCAAGAATCTGGCTCATGTCACACTAGGGCTAGACAGTTTTCCCCAAGGCCGAGATAAAAAGTTCACCTCCTTTCACCCTCCTCTGTGTCACAGCTAATCACAGCCAAGCCCATCCCTCTAACTGAGCGCTTGTGAACAATTCTTGAGGAGGCAAGGCGGAATGTGCCACGTCTGCTGTATTCACTACAAGTAAGAGTGACACACGGACACATGCAAAGCGCCGGGGAAAAGGTTTCTGCAGGGCAGAGAATGAGTCAGGAGCAGGACCGTATGTGTGCTTTCACACACAGCAGGAGTGAAGAAGAGGGGAAAATACAGAGGAGAAATGCTATGCTGCTTTAATACACTCTCCCAGCTTAGTGGGATTTTCACAAGGGCAATACACAATATGGAAGATTAAGGTCAACACATTCAGTCTGGCGAGGACTAGTGACAGATCCACCCAAGTATCTAAATAGACAGATGCTTCTACAAAGATTTTGTACCAAATCCACACACCCCTCTCCTGCAACCCAGGCACGGACTCTCCTCCCTTAACCACACAATGCTCCCCCAGCCCCTCCCCTCTTGCCACCTACCTCTCCTTCCTTTGCAGGTCTACGGGGCCCATTCAGTATGTCTGACAGCCTCTCTGCTAGGTCACAGGTTATTGCTTACTTCAACTTTCCTGGCACTTTGTGGCTTCTAGAATGCATGGCAGGCAACAAGCCACCAGAGTGCATTACATCTCACACCTCTGAAGCGCCAAAGGTAAGCAATGCACTTCGGGCACCACTAAAGGGGATGCATCACAAATCTGATGAACGTAAAGTAAATGGAGAGAGGCCACTATGTCTGTTAACACCATAGGGGTAGGGAAGAAGCAGGAGGCATCTTGGTTGGGATTAGACACGAAGAAGAAGAGCACAGAGGTGGGGTGGGCAGGAACAACAGACAAAGGGAGTGGGGGAGAAGGTATTAGAAGGGGCTCAGCTGAACTGAAACGGTTCACTATGATCCTTATTTCAGAGTGGTAGCCGTGTTAGTCTGTATCAGCAAAAAGAACAAGGAGTACTTGTGGCACCTTAGAGACTAACAAATTTATTTCGGCATAAGCTTTCGTAGGCTAAAACCCAATTCATTGGATGCATGCAGTGGAAAATACAATAGGAAGATATATATGCACAGAGAACATGAAAAAATGGGTGTGCCATACCAACTCTAACGAGACTAATCAATAAATAATAATAATAATAGCCCACCTTAATTGATTAGTCTCGTTAGAGTTGGTATGGCAACACCCATTTTTTTCATGTTCTCTGTGCATTTATTAGTCTCTAAGGTGCCACAAGTACTCCTCGTTCATTACGGTCCTTATGTTTCCTGCAGCAATCCACCCATCCCGAAATACAACAGAGGTCAATCCCCCCATCACGTTAGGAAGTGCAGTTACTTAAGACCACAAATGGCTTTTGCAGTGAATTCAATACTGCCGCCATCCCCTGCATGTTGGCGCGCATCCACGGAAGCCTTGCATTTTCCAAGCTGAGTCACTCGCACCATTCGTGCGCCAGTTCCCGGGTAAGAAATTAAAAATAAACTAGACAGGTGCCAAGAATTAGCCAGACCTGCTCTGTCCACATCCCACTGCAAATACCATTGCAATAGCACAGCTCTCTTGTAATGTCAGACTGGCAAATTTCTCCTGAAGACTGCATCAGAGAAAGCCAGGCTCATTGTCTGAAACAAGAATACTTAAATGAGAAGTTTAGAAAGAGGACCTCTGTAATTGCTTCTAAAAGTAGCCTGTATTACTGGAGTTCTATTCTGAATCAGCAAAGAAATCAAGATGCATTGTAAGTGACTGTTTTGAACCTTGACTAACTGGTTTCTGAGCAAGTACCTGTAATTGCTTTCTTCTCTCCTCTCTCCAGTTTTGCTTGCGGGGATTCGGTATAACCACCATGTTCCACCAGCTGCTCCACCTTTTTCATCACGGTGCCCTTGAAACTCATCTGAAGTTGGCTAGTATACTTTTCGTGCTGCAGACAGAGAAGCAAAAATGTGGACAAGGCTATGCGGTGCCATACAACAGGCAATGAAAAGAGCAAACTATCTCCCCATGTGATCATATAAGAACAAATATCGTGGCTGTGCTCGAGACAGGGCCGGCTCCAGGCACCAGCTTAACAAGCAGGTGCTTGGGGCGGCCACGAAGAGGGGCGGTACCTGCGGCAATTCGGGGGCGGCAGGTCCCTCACTCCCTCTAGGAGCGAAGGACCTGCCGCTGAACTGCCGCCGCCGATCGCGGCTTTTTTTTTCTTTTTTTGCTTGGGGGGGCAGAAATGCTGGGGCCGACCCTGGCTCCAGAAAAAAAAAAAAAAACCGCGATCGGCGGGGGCAATTGGAAAAAAAAAAAAAAAAAAACCGCGAACGGCGGGGGGGGGTCCAGCGCCGGGGGTCCCTCCCC